AGAATCACTGATCGGCTGCCTCCTGCACGCCCCCTACTGGGGATGGAGCAACCTGGGCAGGTGCCCTGACCGGGGATCAAACCGTGACCTCTTGGTTCGTAGGTCAATGCGCAACCACTGAGCCACAGCGCCTGGACAAGGAGCCACTTTTTTTGTATCCAACTTTGTGACAAGGCTCCGACAGGGATTTGGTATTTCTGCCTGGGGTGGCATTCATTGCCTTCGACTCGGGCTCCTCTGTGCAGAAGGCAGAAGCCACAGTGTTGATAGAAAGGCCAGCTTCACTTTGTGGCCAAGAGTTATTTTATTCTCCTTGCTCTTCGTTCCTTTCCCTGTGAAATGAGGATTAAAAGCTTATTCTCAGCAGCATGTAGACTAGTATAACCTGGGAGGGGGCCTGAGGTAGAATTCTGAGGGAGACCAGGCCATTCTCTCTAGGGTGTGGATGGTGGGATGGAGGCATGCTATTCATCCCTCACTAGTTCATGACACTGAGTAACCACGGGAAGGGAAGCCTGGCCAAGTTCATTGTGGTTAGACCACAGTCTAGGGCAGACGTTATCAAACTTCAGTGCAAAGCAGAGTCACACGCGATTCGCCCTCAAGGTCTGGGATGGAGCCAGGTGATAAGCATTATCAGCAAGCTCCCCAGGTGAGTCCCACGCAGGTGGTGAGTGACAATCGTCTAATGTAGAATTTAGGGGAGAAAACCCGTTTTGGAGGCTCACCCCTGGGGAGAATGACGTAATGGCAGAGCTGTGAGCGAGCTGATGGCCATCTAGCTCGGCCACCCTCAGATTCAGGACACCCCACTGCGTCTTTGGGGACAAGGTATAGCTCACAAGGGCCTGAATTTTTCCAGGGAGGTGCTCCCAACATTGTGGCCAGTGCATTCCTTTTAAAGTTTTCTATGAGAAAAATTCTTTAATATTGAGCCAAAGGGTGACTCCCTGACTCTACCGAAAGTAAGAACTTCCCATCGGAAGGATTTGGAATCTCTGAAGGGATGTGATGTGTCTCTAAGTCCCCCTCTTCTTCAAGCTGAGTGTTCTCAGTTCTTCTCTGAGGGCTTCTCCAGCCCGCCTGTGCGTGAGAATCATGGAAGGGCTTAAAAAAGTCCACTGTGTTCAATGACACAGAGTCTCGGGACCTGGGTCCCAGGAATAGGTATTTTAAAAGCTCTTCACATTGGAAAAGGTGAAAGGGATTAGAACTGCAAATCCCCAGCCGTAAGAATAGTCACAGGGCCCTAGCCGGGTTGGCTTAGTGCAGCGGTTCTCAACCTGTGGGTCGCGACCCCTTTGGCGGTCGAACGACCCTTTCACAGGGGTCGCCTAAGACCATCCTGCAGATCAGATATTTACATGACGATTCATCACAGTAGCAACATGACAGTGATGAAGTAGCAACGAAAATAATTTTATGGTTGGGTCACAGCATGGGGAACTGTATTTAAAGGGCCAGAAGGTTGAGAACCACTGGCTTACTGGCTAGAGCATCCACCTGTGGACTGAAAGGTCCCGGGTTTGATTCTGGTCAAGGGCACATGCCCGGGTTTCGGGCTCGCTCCCCAGTGGGGGACATGTGGGAGGCAGCTGATCAATGAATCTCTTATATTGATGTTTCTATCTCTCTCTCCCTCTCCTTCTCCCTTCCTCTCTGAAATCAGTAAAAATATATATTTAAAAATACAGTAAATAAGCTGGGCAATTAGTGAGAATCATGGGGGCACTTCACTTTTCTAAGAGTCTCAGAGTTCTTGCATTGCTGCAATTTCTGCTTTTCTGTTTCCTGCTAGCGTGGTCGCTTCATTGTGGTCACAAGACCAACACAGAGTCCCTGGTGGGAGCTTCTCAGCTTTCTTCTCACCTCGTGCATTGAACTGCGTCTCCTTCTAAAGCAAGATCTGAGAACATCGATTTGTATTTTCAGGCCCTTGAACTAGAATCAGCTGAAATGGTTAGAATAGCCTGAGGCAGTGGTCGGCAAACTCAGTAGTCAACAGAGCCAAATATCAACAGTACAACGATTGAAATTTCTTTTGAGAGCCAAATGTTTTAAACTTAAACTATATGGGTAGGTACATTGTTATTAACTTCATTAGGGTCCTCCTAAGGCTTAGGAAGAGCCACACTCAAGGGGCCAAAGAGCCGCATGTGGCTCACGAGCTGCAGTTTGCTGACCACGGGCCTGAGGAGCGGAGGACGCTGGCCAACGTGGGGCGGTGGGAGGGGGCGGGGGAGCAGAACCACCCCCTTTTTGGAGCCCCCACTTCATGATCAAGCTGCTCCTGTAAATATTTGCAAGCGCCCCTTCAAAGCTTGAAAGCCTAGGACACGACCCTTGGACGGTTTGCTTAGAAGAAGAAGAAACAAAATTGACCCCGTGGCCCGCGGCAGCCATAAAAAGAAAGCGTGTGTAGGGCCAAGGACCAGAAAAGGGTGGGGGGGGAGAGCGGTAATGGCTCAAAGTTTAATAAACACAAAAGAGAATAAAAATAAATCTCAAGAGCTCTTATTTGCACACTTGATGGAAGGATGAGAGGTGGCGGGTGGGTGTGAACGATGGGTGTTCGTGGGGGTTGGTGGATCAGGCCTGCAAGTGGGGAGGGGGGGAATGAACTGGATGTTTACGCTTCCTAACGACAGGAAACACACTGAATGGGCTTTGCTCTTCCAGGATGCGCTTTCGAAGCATGTGTGCGGCGTCTGATGGGGAGGCCACGGGAAGATGCAGGCGGCCACTAGGCCTGAGGAAGGGTCTGGGCAAAGCAGAGAGGGGCCAGAGCCCACGCGAATGGCCCCACCCCCGCCCAGGCTTCTTGTCCCAGGTGCTGAGCCGATCGGTGAATACCAACCCGTTCAATCACCTGGGCTGGGCCTGTTCAGAGGAGAGAGGAAAATCGATTTCTTCTTAGCAGCTACCTTTAAAAAAATATATATATGTATGTGTGTGTGTATGTATATATATATATATATATATATATATATATATATATATTGATTTCAGAGAGGAAGGGAAAGGGAGAGAGAGATAGAAATATGATTGATGAGAGGGAATCATTGATCGGCTGCCTCCTGCACGCTCCCTACTGGGGATCGAGCCTGCAGCCCAGGCATGTGCTGTTGACCGGAATTGAACCTGGGACCCTTCAGTCTGCAGGCTGATGCTCTCTATCCACTGAGCCAGACTGGCTAGGGCAGCAGCTACCTTTTCAAATTGCTTTGCTAGGGGCTCCAAAAACGTTCCTGCTTGTGTGACTGGTTGCCCTCCTTGAAAACTGCCCGCCAGCTATTTCACGGCCATTGCTGTGTCGAAAGGAATGCTTTCTTTTCTCCAAGACCGGGATGGCTTTAGATTTATTAAAAAATGTGTTTGTTTGTTTGTCTCTGAGACTTTCGGCTCCCTCAGTTCACACAGACGTCTCTGCAGCAGGCCTCCGGCAAAGCATGGCTTGGACCTCACTTGCCCGTGAGCTGCTGTCTGAGAATCCAGGGCCCGGGCACAAGGACGGGCCAGGCTTTGGGGCTTTGAGGCTGAGAAAGTGCAGAGCTCCTCAGATGAGGAATTCTTGGTGTGTTCCGAGCCTTTTTTTTTTTTTCAGTGTAATTGTCAGGGCACGGATTTCTCCAGAAATCAAGAAAGGTATTTATGTCTATTTTAAGATCAGCAAGATGGCTCATTTATTTAATAAGAACTTGGCCTTGCCAATAGCCAGATGCCTGAGTCTTTCAAGGCTCCTCATTGATGACCGGCTATGCAAACAGTGGATATTCAGTAAACTGTGTGTGTGCAGAGCCCCGTCCTGGGTATGCAGAGAAGAAGAAAGACTTGGCAAACAAGGTCTTTGCCCTCCAGGTCCTTAAAATTGCACGGGGGAAACCAAACCAACAAACATAATGCAGGAGTCATCAAAACATCTGTCAAGAGCCATCAGCAACAGTGAAAGATTCTGTTGAGACGAAGCTAAGCCGTTCAGGAGAGGGTAGAAGGGAGTAATGAAGGCACCAGAGCGGATAGAACATTCTGGAATAAGGAAAGAAAATTTGCAAGAGATTTTAGACTAGGATGGTGGAAAGATCTGAAGCAAGTGGCCTGCCCAGGGTAAGGGCTCAATCAATGGGTATTGTGTAGGATGCATGGGGCTGGAATTTGGACCTGCTTTGCTATTTCATATGGCCTCCGTTGCATCTTCAAAAGTAATGGCAGGTGATTACAAAATAATAACAACACCCTAGCCACCCAGAGCTTGAAAGTGTGGTGTGCTGTTTTACATGGCTCAGCACTGAAGGAATTTGGGCCGATTCTTTCTCTCCATTAGCCAAGATTCCCTCCCACCAAGGGCATTATCTTGAATAAGGAATTTGAAGACTGGATGCTGTATCGCTGGTATATGGCTATAGTTTTGTTTTGTTTTTAATTTCGATTTCCTCATCCCAACTTAACTAGAGGGTGTATTTGGTCACATGTGTGTGAAAAAAACAAACTTGCGAAGCCAAGAAAAGATGCAATACATGAACCTGGAGAGAGCAGAACATTTGGATGCCAAAATTTCAAGGAAAAAAAATACATGGGCAAAACTGCTTGCCATTAGGAGCTATTTTCTTGGCGCATGTGATTAAAGTGTATGCGAGTCTGACAGCTCTCTCCAGCATCAACTGTCACGAACATGCTCCAATGTATGACCATCTAGCATTTTCCACGGCTCTGCCAACTTTCAAACGAGAGGGTTAACTACACGCCCGCAAATGGAGTTGGAAGTGGTTTGTTAATCTCCATTAATCTGCTACTCCTGTAACCAAACGCACATGTTTATTTTATTTTTCCCCCCCTAGTTAAATTGTTAATGGTACGAAATTGGCGATTGAAAACGAAATCGTTCTGTAGATATTTTCCTTATGGTTTCTCGAGGCTGTCTCATGGCTGCACTTTTTCTTTTTGAGAGAGAGAGAGAACAATGGATTTTTATCATTTTCAATGATCGCCCTAACTTTTCACAGATGCCATCCCGCCCACTTTCTACAGACCCTACTTCAGAATCGTCCGCTTTGACGTCTCGGCGATGGAAAAGAACGCTTCCAATCTGGTGAAGGCGGAGTTCAGAGTCTTCCGTCTACAGAACCCCAAAGCCAGGGTGCCCGAACAGCGGATCGAACTGTACCAGGTAACCTTTGTCTGGGTTGTTGGCATGGACTACCAGCTTGAAGCCTTTGTATTCTTAGCTTTTTCTGAGCTGATATAAACCATCCTATACATCCACACGCATGATATATAGACCCTCATTTGTTATTCCTCCATCACTCCGGAAGGAAGAACCTTTAGAATGGCATGGTGATGCCCTGAGCACACTTTTGCGGTCGAACGAATGGCTGGAGTACCCACCCATTTAGTCCAGTTCACCCCCTAATCTGGAAAGTCAGATAACCTAGGTCCAATCCCACTCTAAGGAGAGAAGTCACTGACTTTCCTCTTCTCATCCTATATAGCTGTCATCCCTTTCTCCTCCTCGTCTTTCTTTCTTCCCTTTCTTAAATATATTTTATTGATTTCAGAGAGGAAGAGAGAGAGAGAGAATTATTGATCAGCTGCCTTCTGCAGCCCCCCCCCCCCGCCCCCACTGGGGGTCGAGCCTGCAACCTGGGCATGTGCCTTTGACTCGAATTGAACCTGGGACCCTTCAGTCCACAGGCTGATGCTCTAGCCACTGAGCCAAACCGGCTAGGGCTCTTATTCTTTTTTAAAAAAAATGTATTTTGACTTCAGAGAGGAAGAAAGAGGGAGAGAGAGAAACATCAGTGACGAGAGAGAATCATTGATTGGCTGCCTCCTGCATACCCCCTACTGGGGATCCATAGATGAATGTACTGAGATTAAAAAAACAAACTCAGTGGATCTCAAAGGCATCTTAGGTTTCCTGAACCAGGCCTTAAAAGCAGCAGCTGCTTGTTTTTGTAGCGACACAGACATCAGCGTCGGCTGAAGTCACCTTTGCCTGGACAAGAGAACACCACCCTCTGAACCATGTCCAGCTCAGCCAGGGGTGAACCTGAGGAGGGGCGGCAAAGGATTAAAGAAAAGAGACAAGAGAATATAGCTGGAACCAGATGGGACACCCTTTTGGATGGAGAGACCGTGCCACAGCCTGCAAGCCGAGTCTTTATTTTATAGTCAGATCCCACGAGGCAAAGCAAGGGCGTGGTCAAGATGTTTACAATGTTCTCGCGAGTTTCAAATCTATTTACTTACATGCACCTGAGAACTCTATCAAGCTTTGTTTTGGCAGCACTTGCTGCACCTTCCGCAGCCTACCTCACTCAGCCACCCTCACTCAGCCACCTGGCACCACAGGTTCGGACCATAAGGTCAAGCTTACAAGATAGCCTTTGGCTATAATGGTGCTGGGAGGGCTCTGCCCTCCAAGCTGGGACCTGCACGTGGCTTTGCCACGGGAGGACTGTGCCCTCTCATTAGTCTGAGGCTTGAACCTATCCAAATGCTGTATCCGCTCTCCACAGCCCTCTACAAAACACTGTGAGAACTTTGACAAAGGAGAGATAAAAGCTATCCTCCTGCCCTCTCCAGCCTTTTTCTCTAATACTTGGATCTCATGCCCATTTTTCTTTTTTAAACTTGATTTTTTTTTCGAGAGAGAGAGAGAGAAACATCAATTTGTCGTTCCACCCATTTATGCATTCATTGGTTGATTCTTATATGTGTCCTGACCGGGGATTAAACCCAAAACTTTTGTGTATCAAGATGATGGTCTAACCAACTACCTACCCAGCCAGGGCCTCAATACCCCCTTCAGTTTGCATTTAGACAATCACCAGTTCGTCAAATGTGATGAAATATCACTTGCAGAGACCGGTTGCAAGAGTCTACAGGACAGTGGCTAAGTCCTAAGCTGTTTATACTTGTTTATTTTTGGCTTCAAGCTGGATAGCAAATGTTAGATGATGTTTCAGATTTGAGGATAAAAGGGCGAATTGATGATTATGGAGTAAAATAAGTAACCAGGTTTTAGTGGGAGAAATTTTACACACACACATATATATACATAGATAGCATCTCTGCAAAAGATTTTAAACTACGCATACCCCTGAGGCTTTAGCGTGAAAATTCATGGTTGGCGGTGGTAGGCCTGCTGTTTAAGGGATCCCATTGCTGCAAAACGAAGGTTGGGGATCCTAACATTTTGGGGAGTATAGCACTAATGAGGTTAATGAAAGCCCCTTTTCCTAACCCCAAATACCTGTGTGTGTGCCACACATTCATTCCCCCCTCTCTCTCTCTCTCACACACACACACACACTTTCTCTCTCTCTCTCACACACACACACACACACACTTTCTCTCTCTCTCTCTCACACACACACACACTTTCTCTCTCTCTCTCTCTCTCTCTCTCTCTCTCTCTCTCTCACACACACACACACACACACACACACACACTTTCACACACACACACTTTCTCTCGCTCTCTCACACACACACTTTCTCTCTCTCTCTCTCTCTCTCTCTCTCTCTCTCTCTCTCACACACACACACACACACACACACACACACACAGAGCTCAGCTTTCATTTCTCATATTGCCCGAGGGCATATGAAAGAAAAAGCCAAAAAACTCTTCAATTAGACTTTGCAAAAAGTGCTACTGGAAAGAAAAAAAAGATGGTGCATTTGTGCTGAATTTTACAGCGTGCAATCCCTTTAGCACCGATCCTAACCCGGTGCCACATCGGAGACACACACAGTACAGTAACCCCCTAAAAAAAAAAGCCATGAAGTATAATAAACACTTTGTTTGCATAAGGCTATTAATATCTTGTTTTCTTTTTTCAGCCTGATTGGATGGCAGGCTTGTCTCCTAGGGAAATCGGATTGTTACCATTTGCATTCAGTTTGATGTTACGCGGGTCGGTTTACCTTGTGAGCAGACAGGACCCCAAAAGCCGTGTGAACAGTAGCTGTTCTGCCGCACTCCCAAGAAATGTTAATAATCATGCAATTGCAACTAATATTCAGTGTTCTCTGGTGTAATGTGGCTCAGCCACAGTGCTGATCATTGCTAACAGCTCCTTGTGTGCTGGGAGCGATGTTAAGTGCTTAGAAATTCTCTTTCTTGGTTTTTCTCCCTCATTTTCAGTCCACAATGAAGTAGATTCACTAGAAAGGGTGAAGTACAGTATAAAATTGCTTACAGTCTCTGATGATGCTTTTGGTTATATATATATAAATTCTCGTTAGGGTATGTGTGTGGGTAAAATTCCAAGCAGTAGTTTCTTACTTTTAAAAAATATATATATATTTATTGATTTCAGAAAGGAAGGGAGAGGGAGAGAGAGATAGAAACACCAATGATGAGAATCATTGATTAGCTGCCTCCTCCACACCCTCTTCTGGGGATCGAACTCAGGTGTGCGTCCTTGACCAGAATCGAACCGGGGACCCTCCAGTCCGCAGGCCGATGCTCTATCCACTGAGCCAAACCAGCTAGGGCCCAAGGAGTGGTTTCTACCTCTCATTCTAAAAGATGGGCTTCTTGATCCTTGATTGTGTGTGTCGTTCTGATGAAGTCTCTTGGTCCCTACGAATATGCCAGGCAGGGACTGTGGAAACGCTGGGAGAATAAGAAGGGGTCGGGACGCCTTTGCTTTGAAGAACTTCACAATTAGACTGAGCATTTGGAACCTACTCAACCGAGTGTGATGTGTGCACACCAACCGTTACAGATCGATCGCGTCCCCTGGAGAAATAGATGTTGAAGTCTTAATCCTCGGGACCTCAAACATGACCCCATTTGGAAATAGGGTTGTTGAAGATGTAATTAGTTAATTTCAAATGAGGTCATATTGGTGGTGGGGAGTGGTGATCCTATATGACCAGCGTCCCTATAAGAGGATGGCCACATGCAGACAGAGACACCCAGGGAGAACGCCATGTGAGAACAGAAGCAGAGGCTGAGGTTGTACGGCTTGAATACCCAAGATTGCCCGCCAGTCACCAGATGCTAGAATAATCGGAAGCCTCCCCTGTCCCGAGTTAGAGGGAGCAGGGCCCAGCCAACACCTGATTTCTTGCTTCTGGCCTCCAGAGCTCTGAGAGTAAACTTCTGTTGTTCAAACTTCTGGTGTTTTAAGCCACTCAGCCTGTGGCAGCCCCGGGAATCTAACACACCCATGAGGCAAAGTCTCCCTAAGTCCCAGCACACAGAGCCCAGAGAGGAATCAGGACGCAGCCACGGGCTCTCTCTCTGATCGCCCAGCGCATCTCTGCACCTGGGCCTTGTTCTCTTCGTGCCCGGTATCCCCCCCAGTTTCTCAGATGTTCATAGTTACCTGTTCACCTTCTGGGGGGACCCCCTAGGCTGGGATAGCTACCTGGCTTCAGAGGGCCTCCTGGTGCCCTGTGAACCCACCGTTTTGCATTTCTGTTGAGATGCCCGGATGCCCTTCCTACAGCACCAACTCCTTTAAGAAGAGGGACCAGGTCCTTGTCCTGGGATGTCAGGGCCAGCAATGCCTTACTCACAGTTGGGGCTTCATATTTGTTGAACTAAACTGGAGGAAGTGGGCTATAAAATAAATTCCAGTTGGTAAGTGAGGACCCAGGTGCATATAATCAGTGCTTGAAGGAGCCTTCCAGATGTTTCTAATGCAGTAATTATTCAGTGATTGAGTAATGACTAAGTGAATTAACTGATTATATTAAATGTTTTAGTACGTGCGGGCGGGGGTCTGGGTGGAGGGAGGTTGTCATAAGGGTACAAGGCTCCTGCACAGTCAGTGGAAGCTTTCTGGAGGGTGGAGGTGGAAGTGCGTTGAAGAATGAGGGAGAATCGGTTGTTTCTCCCGTGGTTAAGCCAAGACTTATCTTCTGGAGTGGGCTCTGTTTGCGTGAAAATAAATGTTGATAGTATCAAGATGTCAAATCAGAGAGTCGGATTTCCCCCAAATTAAGTCAATGAGTACTATTCTCGAAGCTGCTACTGTCAGCAAACCAGAACAATTGTTTGCTATTGTTCCCTCTATCTTTCCAGAGCTCGATACCCCATTGGAAGAAATTAACATTTATACCCCCCCCTCCCCCAACAGGATTACCCTTGAAGCCAAATTGTCCAAAAGTGTGCTGGTTTTTCTCAAAAAGTATTGGTCCCAGCTG